TTTATTCTATTCTTTGGTAGATTTACAACAAGAAAAACTCACACCAATAAATAAATTTTAGAAAGGGGCAAGATTAGATGTGGACGCACAAAGCGTTTTTATTTTTAAAGCAGGAGTCCATGCACTCCCAGTGCACTTTTCATGGTTGTGTTCCAAACAGTCCCAAGTCTTGCAGAACCAAGAGTTGTGCAACTGAAAGTAGACCATCTTGACTGGCAAAATTCTTTGTTAATTTTTAGATTGGCTTTGTTGGGGGACAGATGGGCAGATGAGCACAGAAGATTCACCACCGTACTGTGAGATTTCTCACCACATTTAAACCACAAAGATGAGAGAGAGAGAGAGAGATCTCACTTGAGTGTCCTGGGCACCTCTTCTCAGCTCACTGCTGCCATCACGAGGTTTGTTTCCTGCACTGCAGAAACGGTTGGCAGGGATTTGTTGAGAGCAGTACTCAGCTTCCGGAAGAGGCAATGTGAAGAGACAGAGAGCCTATTGTGGTGGCAAGGTTAAGAGAAACAGAATCATTGAGGTTAATCAACATCCTGCAGCAGACAATGGAGGGCTCCAGAAGGGCTTCAGGCTGTATTGCAGAGAAACATGTGAGAGATGAGATTAAATTCATTCATGATGCCTGAGACCAGGATGAAAGGCTGGCAGCTCCTTGTACATGTTAATGAAGCTGGATATAACTTTCCTCAGGCAAAGAACACACACGTGCCACTGGGAGCAGATCCCATTTCCCCCCCACACACACACTGCCACAGGATGAATCCCAAACCATTAAGAAAAGAGAGACCGAGAGTCAACTATTCGTAAGAACTTGGTGTTGCATCTCACTATTGTTCTACTTATGCTACTCCTATTCATTCATTCATTCACTCATTCATTGTTTCACAATGTATGTACCACTAGGGATGAGAGAGAAATTCAATTCAGTTTGCATTTAAAGGCGGATATACCTAATTCACACTTTGCAAAACCATATGCAAGCTGAAATGCAGGGATCCTTCAAAATTCACACATCTCTGAATTTTGCAATGCAGTTCTGCAGCCAAGTAATGTGTACAAAAGTGTGTGTGTTGACACGCATATGTAAAATGTACATAAATGCATATATTGGTGAAAAAATGCTTTGCAAAAATGTATCTGCTAGGCAAAATTGCATGTATACTTGTACATTAGGAGAATTTTGCACTAAAATGCTGGTGGTTTTTTTTAAATTGGAAACTGATGTGGCAATGTGGAAAATGGAATTTAAGATTAGATAAATGAGAAACCAAAACAGATAGATTTGCCTATCCCTAATTTAACATGTAACACCGTAGTTTCTAAGCCATGTACACTGAGGTTACAAAGAGACACCATACAGATAAAATTGGTTGAAATTAGCCATACCATTGGAAACACAGAAATAAGAAAGCCTTCACCAAGTGCCAGACATTCAACAGGGAGCAGACCTGGCTGATCTCAACTAGGAAGGAGTTCCATAGAACTGGACCCACAGTACTGAATGTACAGCTCCTAAAGCAGGGGTCAGCAACCTTTTTCAGCCATGGGCCGGTCCACCGTCCCTCAGACCATGTGGTGGGCTAGACTATATATATTGGGGGGAGGGGATGAACAAATTCCTATGCCCCACAAATAAGCCAGGGACGCATTTTAAATAAAAGGACACATACTACTCATGTAAAAACACACTGATTCCCGGACCATCCACAGACCGGATTTAGAAGGCTATTGGGCCGCATCTGGCCCCCGGGCCTTAGGTTGCCTACCCCTGCCCTAGAGCAGCATTTCCCAACCTTGGGCCTCCAGCTGTTTTTTGGACTACAACTCCCATAATCCTCAGCTAGCAAGACCAGTGGTCAGGGATGATGGGAATTGTAGTTCGAAAAGAGCTGGAGGCCCAAGGTTGGGAAACACTGCCCTAGAGGATACGAACCCTGCATTTACACCGTGGTAGGCCACCAACAGCAACTCCCACAAGACATCAGTGATCAGGGAGGGATATAAAGATTCAGCCAGTCCTTATAATATGATACTCAACTCTTTCAGTCATTGGGTTGTATCCAGCATAGTGCTCAGTTAAAGTCACTTAGTGGTAGACTTGCTCTGTGAGTGAAAATGTTTAGCACCAGGAGAGCGTTGTTACACTGGAGAATGCATACGCAGGTTGGCGGTAACTCTGTTGTGCAGTAGATTGTGCAGTCTGTTGCCTGAGTTGCCACTAGCGCAGCTGTTGCATTGGATTCATCTGCTGTGCAACATTAAAACCCATTTGCTAGTGCAACAGCCTCTGCAGCTATGGTGGCTGTGTGTTATCTACACTGTCAGAAGCAATATGTCTCTGAATGCCAGCTGTTGGAAATCACAAGGGTGCTGCGCCCTCAGGTCCTACTGTGGGGCTTCAAACAAGCAACTGGTTGGCCACTGCGACAACAGGGTGGTCCAGCAGGGCTCTTTTTATGCTCCTATGTTAACCCTAAACAAATAAAAGAATAAAATAACCTGGAACCAGCTCTACTGACCTACCTTACAACAACAAAAAAGTTTGTGTGTAGGGATCAAAAGCACTCATTACTGAAGTACTTATTGCTGGACCTAATTGCTACCTGCCCATCACCAAAGCAGAGAAGGGCAGGTTTTCACTCTTTGCTCTGGATTTAGGTTTGTACTCCCAGAGCAATCACTTTTTGTCCCTTTCCAAGAAAGCACTCAGCAGTTGGGCTAAGGCGAAGGAGGGGATCGGGGGTGGGGTGGGGGACATGCAGCAGTCCTACGGTATTAATTACGACCGAGACTATTTGTTTTTCTTGGTTTACATTCCTCCCATAACTCTAAGCAGAAGTCCATATGGATACTATCATCAATCATATGTTTGCTGGGCAGGAGGATTTTGTGTAAATATTCGTTAGCGCAGCATATAGCCAAAAGTACCAATATAAAACAGACTTGCTGATTCACCCCATTTTGCCATTAAACACCAACACCTGGGGCAAATTCCAGAGAGAGCGCTCTTGCCCTACAGCCAACTTCTCTCTCTCTCTCTTCCCTATAAAGCTGGCCAAACATCTGGGCAGTGAAGAGTTCACAGGCTCAGAACAGGCCCCGCCCAGCCAGGCTGGCTATTGGGCAATCCTGGACAGGAAGAGTTACAAAGGACTTCCTGTTTTGGTCAGGATGCTGTCCCAGCAATAAGGTATTTCAGGCCTTCTCCCTGATTCCCAGGCTCCTTGCTCACTCAGGCAGTTGACTATTACAACTCAGTTTTGAAGTGTCAACCTCGGGTTAAGCCACCAGTGGGGAAACTCTGGCCCATGGGGCTAATTCAACCCCCTCCATTTGACACAGGAGACTGTTTTGGCAGAGTCATATTCACCCGCCCTACAACCAGGGCTTTTTCCAGCCGGAACTCACCAGAACTCAGGTGGGCGCCATTGCCATTATAAGAGAACAAGGGAGACATTCATAGTGAGTTTCGGCACCTCTTTTCCCAGAAAAAATAGCACTGCCTACAGCTGATATCATAGACCAGCATTTCCCAAGCAGTGGATTGTGCTCCATAAATGGGTCACAAAGCCTACGGGTTGTGGGCTTTATAAGTAAACCCCAGATAATTAATCTTCAGCTGCCATGTGATCAAAACCTCTATAACTTTGCTTTTGCAATACTGCAAAATATTGTAATACTGTGTTGAGACTTGTAAGCAAACACTGAAAGGATCAGGTCTTGCATTTTGATGCATTAGAACCTCTCTTTGTTGGCTGGCAAAAGATTCAATGATGGACCCAACAAGGTGCTCATAGGTGGTAAGTTAATTTTGGCTTGGCTATCCCAAGTAATGCTTGTAGAATTGGTTAACTTGCAGTTAAAATGCACAAAGACAATGGCTGCCGAAGACCCGAGGTCTAGCATTCCTGTGCTAATATATCAACTGGTCACCATACCAAGTGAATTCGGAATTGTGAGTCACCACGCCAAAAATGTTGGGAACCACTGTAATCTATGATTTCAGATGCAGCTAGGGTTGCCAAGTCAGAAGCATCTTTGACCATGAAATGTATGGGCTGAAAGCTGAGATCTAGAGGTGGCACCCTGATGATGTCAAGCTGGGAAGCTCCTGCTAGTATCATGGTGCTGATGCTGGAGATGGAGGTTAATTGGGAGAAGGGAGCAGAGGTGGGCAGACTGCTCCCCAATACAGTGGTACCTCGGGTTAAGTACTTAATTTGTTCCGGAGGTCCATTCTTAACCTGAAATTGTTCTGAACCTGAAGCACCACTTTAGCTAATGGGGCCTCCCGCTGCTGCCACGCCATCGGAGCACAATTTCTGTTCTCATCCTGAAGCAAAGTTCTTAACCTGAGGTGCTATTTCTGGGTTAGCAGAGTCTGTAACCTGAAGCGTATGTAACCTGAAGCGTATGTAACCTGCGGTACCACTGTAGTCTATAGTATACTATAATTTGAAGGATATGTGTTAGGCTTCAGGTTAGGGGCGGTTTGTTTCATTTCTCTGCCCTAAGACAAAACTGAAACAGGCCAGCATGCCATGCCATGCCACTGCCCCACCTCCCCATTGCCACCACCTCCCTTAGCTGGGTTGGGTTGTGGCACCCACAAAGATTGCAAAATCTCAGCGGAAGCTGGCACCACTGCTGGTGGCGGGGTGGGCAGGGCACCCATGGAGACACTGCCTCTTGGGCTTCCACTGTCCAAGGCAACTGCCTCACCCTACCTCATGGACAGGCCAGTCCTGCTTTGGGTCTCTGTTACCCAAGGAAAGAAGATTCCTTTGGGAAAAGGTCAAATCTTCAAGCAGTTTCCTGGCCCAGCAGGCCGGCTTCTGCATCCTATAATGGTCTCATTTGTTAGCCTGATCAATATGTGCATCTGCATCATTTGGTTGATTGAACACTTGTCATTTGTATCTATTAGCACATTCTTGAAAGCCTATAATTTTGTTTTGTGCTTAGTGAACAATAATCATTCCTTCAGAGCCACATAGTGGATAGCTCAGTCAGTTGGAGCATGGTGCTGATAACGCCAAGGTTGCAGGTTCGATCCCTGTATGGGAAGGGTGCATTATTCCTGCATTCCTGTGGGTTGGACCAGTGGTGTAGCAAGGCCAGGTGGTACCTGGTGCAGAAAATTTATTGTCACCCCTCTCGCCCACATTTAAATTATTAAAAGAAGGAAAAATAAGATACTTACAGTTGCAGGTGTTATTTTCTGGTTTATTTATTTAACATTGTGAGCATAAGCACTGAAAACCCTTTTTTCCTAACTTTGTCCTCTGCCCCTGAGCAGGGCTGATTCATGTTCAGCTTGTCATCTACTACAGTCCCGAGATCCTTTGCACATGTAGTTGTGCAAAGCCAAGTAAGGTAAAAGGTAAAGGACCTCTGGACTTTAAGTCCAGTCAAAGGCGAATATGGTATTGTGGCGCTCATCTCACTTTCAGGCCAAGGGAGCCGGTGTTTGTCCACAGACAGCTTTCTGGGATATGTGACCAGCAGGACTAAACCGCTTCTGGCATAATGGGACACCGTGACAAGTGCCAAAGCACACAGAAACACCATTTACCTTCCCGCCACAGCGGTACCTATTTATCTACTTGCACTGGTGTGCTTTCGAACTGCTAGAATGGCAGGAGCTGGGACCGAACAATGAGAGCTCACCCCGTCATGGGCATTTGAACCACCAATCTTTTGATCGGCAAGCCCAAGAGGCTCAGTAGTTTAGACCACAGCGCCGAGTATCTACCATCCCATTTCTTGTGTGTGTGTGCGTGTCTAAATGCAGAACTTTGCCCTTGTCTCTGCTGAATTACATTTGGCAGAGTTTTCTGCTCTATAAGTAGTTGTACTTTTGCAGAGGAAACAGCTCAGGATATACGTAGATGACATATAGTATTGACACATCAATCAGATTCTGCACACTGAAAGGATCTGTTCAATCATTACTGTTTTCGCTGCACCCAAAGGTGGCATTTCACTAAATAAAAGTATCCCAGCAGTTTAAATCCAGCACAGATGGGCAGGCTTCAATATCCTGAAATGAACCCTGTCAGCTGTGTGTCTCTTACAGGCCACCCTTGGCACCCTCTGTGTTAACTTACAGAGGTCCTGTGCCAATTTCCCCCTCCCTTATTGTACATCTGAATTCTAAATACAATCTGCAAGGCCCACACAGCTTTCTTTGTTCCTCGCGTCCATCTGCATCAGCGGTCTCCAGTAGGCAATGTGCTCAAGCGCTCTTTGCTTTCAGATTGCGCGATCAAAGAGCACTGAAGTCAGTGGGGCCTTTTAATATGTGCTGTTCGTTTCCAAAGAAATGTGGTTTACCAGCTCACGACATGAGCCAAAACAACTCCGAGCAAATATTCAACACTAGTATTGCTATTTGCTTCTTTGGTTGTTGTTTTTTCCTCCGTTCCCCCACCCTCAATCTTAAAAGTGGCATTTTAGTTTAGAGAGTCACATGTGAACCGTTCATGGGGCAATTTCATCTTTAATCTCAATTGTTTGAAGACAAGGGTGGAGAACCTCAGGCCTTGGGGACACATGTGGCCCCTCCAGGACTCTCATTCTGGCCCTTGGAACACTCCCCAGGCCACACCCCAAGCCACATCACCCAATGGTCCTGCTTTGCATACTGAATGTTTTTTGCCTGGCTGGAATGTATCCTTGAACTCTGGCAATGCCTCTTGCTTCCTTGGATGAAGGTTAGCAAGGTCTGTGTGAGGGTGTGTGGAAACTCACCTACTGTGCAAAGGTAACATTTGTATTAATTGTGCTGCCCGCTTTTGATTCTGGCTGCACCCAGGACTCAGCTACATTAGTCAAAAAACAATGGTTTGAATGCGTTATAAGCATGGAACACCAGATGACGCCGGAGAGCAAAAAAAAATCCATGCAATTTTTCATAGTGCTTTCCCCCCATTTGTTACAACGATTTAATTTCTGACTTATTTATAGCGTTTTCTTCCTGTGTGTAGATCCACCCTTGGTGGCATGGGGGGGCAGGAACCCTCTCTTGACACCATTCAGAAATCTGAGCTTGTGCACTGGAAACCAGTCTGTGATGGTAGTTGTATGCATGCTGATGCTAGCTGGGCACATCATCTTTCCCAGTTTGGCATCTGACTTCACTTTGCAAATGTCACGCCTGGAGCATTCGCTTTGGCTGGCAAAAATCAGCGTGAGCCAAATCCCTCATATGCTACCGCTGGCTTAAGTTTGCTTCTTTCAATTGTACATTATTTTATGGAGAAAATAAAACAGAAACACAACGAGAAACTCCTTTTAAATTCATGAAGCTACCTTCATGTTTTAGGAAGGAATTAATAGGGCCCCCGGCCACTGGAAAAGCGGCAGCAGCAGTGGTGAAAGCTTGCACAGAGCTCTGCCACGGCTTGTGAGATCTCACTGGAACCTGCCACTGCTGCTGCCACCACCTCTCCTTGTTTCTCTTGCAGTGGCACCAGTGGGTGGGAAAGCGTGGCCTCAGGCAGGTACATCTGTGGTGGCATCTGCCACCTCGGGATCCCAGTGGGATCCCACCGCCTGAGCCAATTACTTCAGTTTGCCTAATGGCGAGGCCGGCCCTATGTGCAGAGCCTAATTATCAGCATTTGCAAAGGCAGGAATAATCTGTGCTTATCAGCGACTTGCCTTCTCAGTTCCCCAAGAGCCAAGTGTCTGAAACAGAATAAAGCTAAATCTTCTTCCCTCCTGGGCAAATTTCCTGCTCTAAACTGCAGCATGTGACGAAGCCTAAACGCTGGGGCTCTCCGTCAAGCATGAATATATACATAAACGATAAAGCCGAAAGGAACTTTTGTAGCGAGCTTGTTTGCAAAGGACAATTTTCCAAATCAGTAGCCTTGCTCTTGATGAAGAGGGCGGTGAGTTTAAGGCGAGCTCTTGGCGCCTCCGACAGACCCGAGGCCATTCATTATGTGCCGTGCGCTGAGCAAATGAATGCCGGGGAAATCAGAGGCACGCCTTGAGCATAACTGGAAAGCTGGTAGCGGTGAGATGCTAAAGAAGTAACTTATGCCAATGAAGTCATTCCATGCAGTAGAAGGAGTGTTATTTATTTATCTAGAGCAGGCACCCCCAAACTCAGCCCTCCAGATGTTTTAGGACTACAATTCCCATCATCCCTGACCACTGGTCTTGTTAACTAAGGATGATGGGAGTTGTAGTCCCAAAACATCTGGAGGGTCGAGTTTGGGGATGCCTGATCTAGATCATTTGTATACCTTCAGTCGAAAAGGCTCCCAGAGCGGCTTAAGGTAAAGGTAAAGGGACCCCTGACCATTAGGTCCAGCCATGACTGACTCTGGGGTTGCTAGCTCATCTTGCTTTATTGGCCGAGGGAACAGCTTCCAGGTCATGTGGCCAGCAGGACTAAGCCGCTTCTGGCAAACCAGAGCAGCGCACGGAAACACCGTTTACCTTCCCACCAGAGCGGTACCTATTTATCTACTTGCACTTTGGGGTGCTTTTGAACTGCTAGGTTGGCTGGAGCTGGGACCGAGCAACAAGAGCTCACCCCGTCGCGGGGATTCGAACCACCAACCTTCTGATCTGCAAGTCCTAGGCTCTGTGGTTTAACCCACAGCGCCACCCGAGTCCCCCAAAGCGGCTTACTTGCAAGCAAAACAAGACAGTCCCCACTAAACCTAAGAAAATAAAATAAAAAGACACACAAGGGGAAAGGAACAGGGAGGGAAGAGGAAAATCATCTCCAGCAAAGCCAGAGAAATGAATGAGGCCTGCTTCCTATTTCTCCCACTGAGGCAGTCTGAGGGAATGGCAGACCCCAGGTGGCAGGCAGATGGCAGAGGAGGTCTAATGAAGCTAGTCTGCCAAGGGGTGCCAACTTGAATAAAATATGGGAGGGGGCAGGTAAGCCCATAATTGATCAAATGGCATGCACACACCATTTGAATGGCAATGCCCATCAACTTTGGGCCCCTGGCTCCCTCAAGTATTTTATGGAGGGGGCCACAAAGAGACCTTGGCCCCTAGGAGTTGGCTCCCATGGGCCTGCCACAGCAGAGCCAATGAATAAGCATTATGAGACAAATGGGGGATGGATGACAGTGGTTGAAGGGAAGGGGCAGGCTGTGGGAAGTGGACCCTAGTGCCCATTTACAGAGTATGCGGAAGACAGCCCTGGGTCACTTAACTCTTTAATAAGTTTTCTTTTCCCTCCTAGAAAAACTACACAAGACACTCTCTTTTGAAGTTTAAAGAACACATTAACTTTTACTTAGTGTACTTACGGTTGCAGATTGAAGAGACAATGCAGATAGGCGATACTTTAGTTGCTAATACAGTGGTACCTCAGGTTAAGACCTTAGTTCATTCTGGAGGTCTGTTCTTAACCTGAAACTGTTCTTAACCTGAAGACCACTTTAGCTAATGGGGCCTCCCGCTGTGCTGCCGCTGCACTATTTCTGTTCTTATCCTGAAGCAAAGTTCTTAACCTGAAGTACTATTTCTGGGTTAGCGGAGTCTGTAACCTGAAGTGTATGTAACCTGAAGCATATGTAAGCCGAGGTACCACTGTACGTCTTAAACAGGACTCAGCTACACTGGTCAATTATAACGTTAAAAATGTGTTTTGGTTATAAAATGTGACACCAGAGGGTGCTGTAGAGCAGCAATCCATCACCCGTGGTAAATTGTGTTGAGAGATAGATAGATAGATAGATAGATAGATAGATAGATTAGCGTTTTTTCATGTCAGTGTAGATCCAGCCATAGATTAAACTGTTACGAACTAACTAGCTCTGAGACAGACAGCACAATGTGACATACTTGTTGCTCTGACTGTTCAGACTGTTCAGTTAACTGCCATAACTGAAATAACGGTCATAACAGCTACAGAGCATACGGCACCACAGAGTTCTACAGCTCTTGCAATTAACCCTTTACATAGGCGTTTTGGATACTAACATCCCATCCAGGCTGGCTGCAAGAATCGCTTGAGATAGGAAGCAGGGCTCATTCAATCAGCTCTGCTGAAGGATTTCCTCTGCCAGGCAGGGGCGGAGGAAGGGAGGTG